TCCGGTACCGGGAACCGAACTCACGACCTTGCGCTTGCCAGGCAGGCGCTTTGCCGCTGAGCTAAATCCCCAGCCCCTGCTTTTTGAACTGTGAGACTATATCACCCGGACGGAATTGGAAATGTTGTTATTTGTACTCGTCATCCGCTACCCACGCTGTATCCACCTCAGTGAAATCGTTGAAGACAAAGATTTTATAACGCTTTAAGCCCATGTGCTTTGTCCTGGTTATCTCTCGAGATTCATGCGGAAACGTGCTTCCTCCTCTCCCATACGCATCGGTGAAACTGGCTTTCTTTCAGTTTCGCAGATGCCATTTGCTCTCCTTGCTACGTGTTGTTTAATGATTCTGCTCTTTTTCTGGGATTTTGCTCTTTTTCTTCTACCTTCTTTTGCCTCACAAATTCATGGATGTCTTTCAGATCTGGCCTCCAAAGATACCTTCTTCAGGAATATTCCTGACTTTTCAAGACTAGGTCAAGGTTCACTGTTACTCACTCATAGATCTTGCCTTTGCAAGCCATTTCTTTTTTTTTTTTTTGGTTTTTCTCCGGTACCAGGAACCGAACTCACGACCTTGCGCTTCCAGGCAGGCGCTTTTGCCGCTGAGCTAAATCCCCAGCCCCGCAAGCCATTTCAAGTTATGTTTTGTACCTGTTTTTTGAGTTATTCTTTGATTAATCATTTGTCCTGCTCCTGTTGCACCACATACTCTTAACAGTGGGGGTGAAGTATGTTGACTTAAGAAATCAGAAAGAAATAAGGCAGGGGGTGGGAAATTAAATAAAAAGTATGCAAAGACTGTTTCGTTGATTTATTTCGTTTTTCTGTTTATCTGTAGAAAATCTCTTTGCTCTGTCTGAAAATTAACAACTGTGTCTTTTAAATTGATCCTTCCCCACTCCTAAGACTCTCAGGTCAAATGCTTAGGTTCCAAGTATTGCATCCCATGTGACTGGCATTTCATATATTATCTATTATAAACCCCATCTTAGTGCATTTTGCAGAGCTGCAGGCATCCTGTATGGAAACATATTTATCATATCGCCTTATTACATAATGACATTTAATTGCCACTCAGTCTCATTGATAGTCAAATTAAGTTAACATTTAATTAAGGATATAATTATATTGAGCAGCTGAAATTTGAATATATATGTTATAATGATTAGCATATATGAATATTTACTGAGTCTGCGGTGGAAGTTGCCCAGGTCACTACTGTCAGATCCTGTCCATGTAACCATTCCACCTTCAGGTATAATGGAGTTGACCCAGGGCCGTTCAGAGATTAAACCTTCGCTTTAGGGTTCAGAAAGCTGGGCAGCTTGTTAACCGTCTGGCCTAACCTAGGATACAACCTAGCCGCAATTCAGGAGTTTGGGATAATTTAGCAGTTCGTGATTAGTCACCTTCATACACCTACATGCTTAACTTCTATCAAGAGAAATAGACTACCTTACCAGTAATAATCTGGCTGTGGTGTGGTAGTAACATATTCTGATTTCTAGAGCATCAGTTTAAAATACCATTGTTATGGTTTGTGTCTGGGTGTCCCCCCAAAGCCTCATGCGGTCATGGGGCAGGCTTTTAGAGTTTGATTGATTATGGGTGTGAGAGCTACACCCGCCCTGGGGTGAATGGTTTGCATATGTAAGGGAGAGGAAGAGGCTGCTTGGGGCCAGTCCTCCCTGTTAGTGCTTGTTTATTCTGCTGTATTCTGCCACTATGAGCTGCAGCCCTCAGCCATGTGCCACTGTGCCTTGTAACCTGCCAAGTATGGACTAAAACTTCCACAAACAGTAAGCAAAATAAACCTTTCCTTCCTTAATTTTGGGCGTCAGGTATTTTGTCCCAGCAAGGAGAGAAAAGTAACCAAGACAACCATATAGATTAATTTTTGCAAGATACACTTACCTAGCTAAATTTTCAATAAAAAGTTACTTTAAGTACCCAAAGTTATTTCTCTGAAATATTTTAATTTTCCAGAAACAAATAACGTCCCAAATCCATTTATCTAAGTGTGCTTCTGTACTTATTATTTCGTATTATTTGTCATGAAATACATGTTATTCTTTCCCCTTAAGACTCACGTGAAATCCTTTTCAGTACAAAATGGTTAGCAGAAACCCGTTTGGGAACTCTCTGCTTCTTATTGAAGTGAATGTGTGTGACAGGAGTAATTGAGCTCACACGAATCAAGCGCTGCCTGCTGAGTCCTCTTGTGATTATGTTGCTGACTTACTCAGATGCAAGGCAAGACCACCAATCTTCGTGGGTTGCTACTGCAATGAAGTAGTAATTTGAAA